ATATTTTGAATTATCTTTTGTAAGATAATGGCATATAAATACAAACTTTTTAGTAGTCGTTTCCAGCAAACCTTGTCTCATTTGTATTCTAATGAACTCGGTGGAATTCAATTAAAATCATGTAAACAAACCAACTTTGGTCGTTTCGTACTCTGTTGTTTTTTAAGATCCCGCGGATCTGATTATACCTTTTTAAAGAGAAAGCCTTACATTACAGTCTATCAAAATGTAACTGAAATAATCCATCACGTTTTTGAGAAAAGGTATATCAAAGTAATAAGGGACCAAGGATCGATCCTTGTGATACGCCACATGCTACATGCATTTCAGAGCCGATCCCGTTGAAATCAAAAAATTGTTTCCTTTCTGAGAGTTAATTCCTCAGCCAAGTAAGGGGCATACCTCGAACACCATAGAAGTCTAATTTTGTAAGTAATATCTCATGATTGATTGTATCAAATGCTTTTGAGAGATCTAAGAAAATTCCTGTAGTTGTGTAACCTTCATCGATTGAATTTGATATTTTTTCTACAAAATGAAAAAAACACAACCGATAACAAGCTAGCAAGTCAGCCATCTTGACATTTGACCCGAAAAGGACTGAAAGGAAAGTAAGGATTGGGATTTGTCACAGCMCACAAACACTACTGCCTTCTCGATACGTTTRCCATAAAGGGCTATACACCGTTGGGCTGGGATGATCAGGGGTAACAAAACAAGGATCTAGTATCTTTTAGGGTGTCTTGAGCTTTCAGTAAATCAAAGTCAAAGATAGTATCTTGAATGGTATCTGTAGCGCTTTTGTTATAAAACGTGTTTAATTTCATGTCTTTGGAACAATCAAAAATATCTCCTTTTCCATGTGTGGTATACAAGCCATGTCCATCCCCCCAGACATGTCCTTGTAATTGTAAGAATTTATAACAGGGGAAATAGCTGGTAAAAAATGAATGGATTTTCGTATTTTGATTAGCTCTTTCTTATTGTGARGTTCAGTTTTTCAATAGATCTGGACACCTGGGGTGGCTGTACGTAGGATGGATAAAGTTATCCACTTCATATATTTGTC